CATGGCCGGCCTCACCCCACCCAAGCCAGCTCCTTCCCGCTCCCAGCAGGTCTCCGCAGGCCCCTGCCGCCATTCCTCAGCTGCCCCGGCGCATGTGTGTGAAAACTGTCATAACCGGAGGGATTCGCAGCTAAACTACAGCGCTGACAACCAAGCTGGGTTTTCTGCCGGGCAGCAGGTCTAAGGCCGGCAGCTGCCATCCGATCCCCTCGGCGGTGACCTCCATCCACCCCGAGACCCTGCGAGCTGCCACCGCCCCGTGCGAAACCAGACTCTCCATGCCGAGGCTGAGGGACGAGCAGCAGGCTCTGTGCACAGGGATCCCCATCCCTGCGAGCCCTTCCCCGCCGCAGACTCTCTGATTTAGGAGAATCTAGGAGGATTTAATATGAGCTGCAAGCCAGGGAGCCAGCTCTCCAAAGCCTGCGGTGCTCCCATCTCCTCTGGGTGGGCGCTGCTGGAGGAGCCGCTACCTGCCTGGGCTGGGCTGAAAGGCCTGGAGGGTCCAGGCTCTGCCCTGGCACCAGCTGGCAGGGGCAATCTCTGCCTCCTCCAGCAGCGCTGGCAGCTCTCCTGGGGACGGGGAAGCTGCCCCTGCTTCACTGCTCTGCAGAGAAGCTGCCCTTTTTAGAGGGGGGCAGACGGGAGGGCCATAGTGCAGGGGCTGCTGGAGCAGGAGAAGGATGGGAGGGAGTGCCGACTGCTTCCCCATCTGCTGTGTTCAACGGCAGATAAAATGCTCCCCTGGCCTTCGCGCGAGGGGCTGATACCAGCCGAATTCAGTTTCCTGTGAGTCAGAAGCTGCTTCCTGCCGGCAGAGCCCTGCCTGATAATGGCTGCACTCTGTTTTCTGGCCGGGGAGCAGACCCTCTGCCCTCACCTCTTCTCGAACCTCCCACATGAAAGCGCTCATCTCTGTATCTCTCAACCACAGCATCTCCCCCCACCCCCCAATATGTTAAACTCTAATTTCCCACTGCTGTCTGGAAGGGCCACTGTCACCCTCATCCCTGAGCCACCCAAACAGGAGGTTTGGGGCCATCTGTATCCAGCTGCCCCTCAAGGTCACCTCCCTTGCATGAAGGAGAGACGCAGTGTCATTTCCTCAGCCTGCGCTCCTGCTGCCCGCCGGCAGTGGGGCACGACCGCCTTCCCCCAGACAGGTCAGGATCGGGGTTCCCCGGTCCCACGCTCGAGCGAGCCGCCCCACGGCGCAACCGCGGGTTCCCCAGCCCTTGCCTGGCAGTGCTATCTCTGCGGCAATCATCCGTCCCTCGCCCTCACTGCAAACCCTCAGTGGTTCCCTCTGCTGCATGCGCAAAGGTGCCGTCACATACCTGTTCCGAGATTAGCAAACTTGGGTTTGTGTTTTACCTGAAGCACTCTGCTCTCTTTTCTCTTTAAGGTGCCTTTTCAATTTCTACAACTTGTGTTTTGTTCTAAGGAATTTTCTGTTCTTCAGGAAAAAATTATCAGCTGTAAGGAGGAGCGGATGTGCACAGGAAAAAGCAGTTGGACAGAAACTGTGGCATAGAGACAGGGATGAAATCCTGCCGTGCTGTCAGAGACATCCCCATCAGGTGCTTCAGAGATGATACCTCGAATCCTTCTCCCTGGGCAGCCCACTGCCTTCCCGGCCACCTCCTGCGCCCGGTGCCGTGGGTACCGCCGGCAGACAGAGCGGCGAGCACAAGCAGCACAGCCCACCTCTGCAATTACTCCTCCTGCACAGGCTTCAGTACCAAAACAGACGTTTTATTTCAATATGGACTCTTACAACTTTTGATCAAGAAACTGTTCTTGGTACTTCTCATCTCTGGGAAGTCAGCCCTTGATTGGCTTCTATATTTAGACTTCTCCAGGGCTTTAGGAAGTTCACTCCTCATGGTATTTAGGTGTAGGATGAAAGCAGCTTTTGCGGGGGATATGTTAAACCACAGCAGGCTCCCTCTGCTAATGCTGCGAGGAGAAAGAAGAGCTAAATTCCTCGAACTTCCCTCTTCCTCTTGTCCCTCATGCCACGGGCACAGTGCGTGTCTTAGAAATAGGCACTGGGGAAATGCTAGGCTGAGAACAACATCAGCTGTATTGCTCATAATAAAAAGAACCCATCAGAAGAATATGGGAAATGCTCTCACTTACAGATTTTGCTCTTTTTTTCTCCCAGAAATATTTTGCTGGGAAATTTTTCTGATCATTTCTGGTTGAAAAATGAGGGGAAAGCAGTTGCTGAAATGTTGATGATGTTTCTCTGCTCTAAGCATTTATGTCATTTTGCACAAACCACCAAGCAAATATGAAGTCCCATCCTGCTCTTACAGCTACAGTCCTACTTACTGCAGTAAAAACAGCCCTGGCACTGCTGATCAGCTGAGCTTCACTCCGGCCCAGGAGAGTTAATTTCTCCAGGGGAAACCAAAGCACAAAGAAGAAGTCATTTGCCCAAAGCTACGCGTTGACTCAGACCAGGAGCCGGTGGACCGGTGTGCCCGATGGCCCCGGCCGCCAGCCTGTGCTGGGTGCATTCACATTGTTTCTCTATCCAGAACTGTATACAATACTTTTTTTTTTTTTTTTTTTTTTTCCGAAGTAAATACTTCCTTGTGAGGGGGAGCCGGGCGCATTATTTTTAGACAGCAAACAAAGCTGAGGTGTATGTCTTTCAGTGGGGGGCAGGCGCCTCTTACCAGCGAGCTGCTCTTTCAGCAGCCGCAGCTGAACTGTCGAGATGGGTGCCGGCCCTTGGGCTCCTCGCTGGCCGGTGCCGAGGGGAGGTGGGTGGGCAGCAGGGTCTGGTGGATGGCTGCTCCCCCTGGGAACGGCACTGCCCTCCATCCCCGGGTCCAGGAGGAGATGGCGGTTTGAGATTTGCTCAGATGCCTGCTCAGAGGCTTGCTGGGATGCCTGCTCTGCCCGAGAGGCAGAGGACATTTTGCACCGTGCAGGAGAGCGGAGCTGCCTCCCTGCCAGCACCGGGCTGCGTGCTGGCAGGAACCGCTGGATCTGGCATGCAGAGGTAAGTGCAGGGATCCCCAATAAACGTGACCATGTGCCTGGATGACAGAAATGAGCGGGGAGCCGGCGCTGCCCTGCCTGCAGGCAGCGTTACAGGGCAGGCGAGCAGGCTGTTTGAAGGATAGCAAAATACTGGGTGCCGTGGAGCAGCCTAAGCTACCATCAGAGCACCGTTTCTCTCAGTTTTGGTGAGAAAGGCTGCTGCGGCCTCGTGAGCAGAGCACCCGACTGACCTGCCTGGAAAATCGCTCCCCCGGGACCGCCGTCTTCCCACCCGTCAACTGGGGACCATGGCACTGTGCAGCTCTGCGGCGTGCCGTGACCGCTGCGGGAGAAGCATCGCATGGTGGCTTGCTAACAGGGAAGGTATCACAGACATTATTATTTGGGGATTATTATAATGTTGCAGTATTTTTTACTATTTCGAAATAGGTAGAGTTATAATGTGACTGTTGTTTTGGTTTTTTTTTAATAAATCTGTAAAGATGGATAGCTATTGCTTAAATCTTGTTTTACATTATTGGGGGGGGGTATGCTGCAGGGGTGAGAAAAAGGGGGGGAAATAGTAGACTGCATTTATAATTAGAAAAGAATTTATATTCCATAGTGTCCTGAAAGAAATCTAAAACTAGAAATCTAAAAAATATTGAAAATATACAGCTGTAACACAAACTCCCAACATGTTTAGAGCTGGCTCTTTCTTGAAGTAACTTATCACTGTGAGCAATCTCCACAGCACCGAGGCACTAATCTAACAAAGATCACTACCAAAGCAAAACCTTTCAAGTTGGAGGGGGGACAAGGCACTGTAACAAGTGATGAGGTTACCTGTCACAGCAAGGTGACCCCTCTCTTCCTGGGAATAGACCCAGCAGAGTTAGGGCAGCCACGCGGCGTCACCAGACACGGGGATGTCAAAACGAAACTAAGTAGGAGGAGGCACAGAGCAGCAGCAGCAGTTCAGCTCGTCAGTGGCAAGCAAAATTATGTAAAATAAGTTACAAATGATGCTACAGTGAATCAAGGTCAGGCTGGGCTGAGAGGCTGAGCCCGGGATGCGTGGCATCCTGGTGTCAGCTCCCTGCTCCCTGGCAATTTGGAGTATGTGGGCCACACTCGGAGACTCCCACAGGAACAGCAAGATGTGCCTCTAGGAAAATGCTGACAGCTCAGCAGCCGTTCACGGGGTGTGTGGGGTAAAATGCCTGCACGCCCTCCCCTCCCAAAACCCAGCCTCCTCACCAGGTA